TGTATGGGTCGCGGTCGGAGATAAAGAGGCGGAAAGAGAGAGTGCGAGAGATCCCGCGGGCGCCGGTCACGCACCGAGGCCGCGCTCCGCTGCCGATCCCCGCCATTTGTTTTCATCTTTAAACAGACCGAAAAATAGAAAACAGCCGAATGACGTCACGCTCCCTGGTGCAACCTTGGCACTGAGGGAAGAGATGGAGGCTGGCACTTAGAGAGGCGGAAGAGAACCGACAGGCGGGGGGAGGGGGGGGAGGGAGGGACGAGAGGGGAGGGAGGGGGGGAGGGAGGGACGAGAGGGGAGGGAGGGGGGGAGAGGGAGGGGGGGTGGACGAGAGGGGAGAAAGAGGGAGAAAGTGAGGGGAGAAGAAGGTGAGGAGGAAGAGGAAGGATAGGAAAGGGGAAGCGGCGAGGAGGAGAGAAAAGGGAATAGGGGGAGGGAGAAGAAGAGGAGGAGAGGGATAAGAAAAAGGGAAGGAAGAAGAGGGAGGGAGGGAAAAAGGAAATAGGAGGAAAGGGAAAGGAAGAGAAAAAGTGGAGAGAGGGTAAGAAGAGAGAAGGAGGAGAGGGAGAAAGAGGGAACGGAGAGAGAAAGGTGAAGAGAGAGAGAGGAAAATATCTTTTGAAGAGAAGGCTTAGGGAGAAGGATGAAGAAATAGATGCACGGATGAGGATATGGGAAAGCTGCGATCAAACCAAAAGGAAGAAACGACAGAGACCAATAAAGAGGATAACATTTGATATAGGGTTTGAAAGGGAGGGAGCGAAGCAGAATATAGATGGGAATCCACGATAGAAGGGATGATATAAAAATGGAAAACCTCTATTGAACACGGAACAAAAAGATAGACTTCACTAATATAAAAGTTATAAGTGCTTCCGTAGCAACATGTTAGTACGTAACGTGCTAGAATCACAATGCTCAAAAGTTCAAGCAACGAATGAAATAAAGTTTTAAGTGCTTCCGTAAAAACGAGTAAATACAAAAAACGCATCCGATAGAATGGCAACGTTCATCTTTTTATATGGCAAATAAAACACCTAAGTCTATCACCACACTTTGCCCTACATACGCCGTTCTCCATGACTGTTGTTTATATTACAGGCTGTTATGTGTGTCGCAAGTGTTCATATTGCCGTTAGATCACTTAGCTCATTATTCCTTGTACATGTCATTAGATGCCTGGAGTACTATGACACACTCACGCTCTCACCTGTCTGTTTTCTCACCCTCTCCCTTTCACCGTGTTTCAACTCTTTATTCCGTTTCGTCTCCTCTTTGTTCTTTTCTCCCCCTCCTCTCTCTCTCTCTCTCTCTCTCTCTCTCTCTCTCTCTCTCTCTCTCTCTCTCTCTCTCTCTCTCTCTCTCTCTTTCTGTCTGTCTGTCTGTCTCTCTCTCTATCTCTCTCTCTCTCTCTCTCTCTCTCTCTCTCTCACACACACACACACTCTCCTTTCTTTCTTTCGCTCTCTCTCTCTCTCTCTCTCTCTCTCTCTCTCTTCTCTCTCTCTCTCTCTCTCTCTCTCTCTCTCTCTCTCTCTCTCTCTCTCTCTCTCTTATGCACACACACACACACACACACTTTTTTTCGTTCTCTCTCTCTCTTTCTTTCCGTCCTCCTTCTTGTCAGCCCCTTTCTTTCCTCTCATATTTCTAGATATCTTTTTCCTTTCCTTATTTGTGTCTGTCTTCCACCCATCTTGTCTCCTTTCTCTCTGTCTGCTTCTCTTCACCTCTATTCCCCCTGAATCTTTTCTTCTCTTCGTTTCCGCTTTCACACATGTTTCTATCCCTTTCTCCTTCTTCGGCATTATGTTGTAGATCTGTCTCTTCCTCATGCATCAAAGGCTAAAATAGTGTGATAGGCAAAGGCATCGTATCTCTTTAGAAACGTACTTACCGAGACGCACCTTATCTCCTTCAGATAGCTACATGCAACAATCTATACGCAGATATATGCAAATGCTGCAATCTGCACTTCCCATTGAATCACGGAGTCATTGCAAACCCGCATAATCAGGCAAATACACGGAGCCACAAGATATATGCAAAAGGCAATCTGATATCCATAAAATAACTATCATATCGTTTTAATCTCTGTGTATTTCCCTGCTCGCCTGGAAATGCAAGCATGCAGGTTTAACGAAAGATTTTGGGGAATTAATAAAACAAAATGTTATAGATCATTTATAATCAATATATTTGTTCACTGGACGTACATATTGCGGCGTGCGTGCCGTGGCAGGTGTGTGTGGAGGCACAGTGGTGGTGCGCTCTACAGGAGCACCTCTGGCCCGCCAACCACGGCGCTCTCTTGTGATGCTCGAGGATGGTGGAAGACATCTTGCTGGCTTCTCTGGAGGGAGGCGACACGCAGGGGAAGCACATGCTGTTTCTTGGACTCTCCGTCGCCCCCTTCTCGTCCTCGAGGCCGTCATAATACGACAGCCTTCTGTTCACCTCCGGCGTGAGCGGCCACGGCCTACTCTCGCCGGGGGACTCT